CATTTCTGAATCGACTCAGAGTCAAACAGCGACGAAAGTTCAGCCTCAAATATTCATGAGTCGATGGTTTCAAAGACACTCTCCTCTCTCTCCTCTCTCTTCTCTCTCTCTCCTCTCTCCTCTCTCTCCTCTCTCTCTTCTCTCTCTTCTCTCTCCTCTCCTCTCTCTCTCCTCTCTCTCCTCTCTCTTCTCTCTCTTCTCTCTCCTCTCCTCTCTCTCCTCTCTCTCCTCTCTCTCTTCTCTCTCCTCTCTCTCTCGTCTCTCTCCTCTCCTCTTTCCTCTCTCTCCTCTCTCTCTTCTCTCTCCTCTCCTCTCTCTCTCCTCTCTCTCCTCTCCTCTCTCTCCTCTCTCTCCTCTCCTCTCTCCTCTCCTCTCTCCTCTCTCCTCTCTCTCTCCTCTCCTCTCTCTCCCCTCTCCTCTCTCTCTCCTCTCTCCTCTCTCTCTCCTTTCTCTCTCCTCTCCTCTCTCTCTCCTCTCTCTCCTCTCTCACCTCTCTCTTCTCTCTTCTCTCCTCTCTCTCTCCTCTCCTCTCTCTCTCCTCTCTCTCCTCTCCTCTCTCACCTCTCTCTTCTCTCTTCTCTCCTCTCTCCTCTCTCTCTCCTCTCCTCTCTCACCTCTCTCTTTTCTCTTCTCTCCTCTCTCCTCTCTCTCTCTCCTCTCTCCTTTCTCTCCCCCTCTCTCTCCTCTCTCATCTCTGCCCTCCCTTTCTCTCCCCCTCTCTCTCTCTCTCCTTCTCATTCCCGACAGACGGTAACTGAACAGACCTCTCTCTCCCCCTCTCTCTCTCTCTCCACCTCGCTCTCCCCCTCTCTCCTTTCTTTCCCCCTCTCTCTCCTCCTCCTTCTCATTCCTGACAGACGGTGACTGTACACACCTCTCTTCTCGGCTCCTGACGCTTCTCTTTTCTCAGTTTTTTTCTGTTTGTGTTTTTTGAAGCCTTATAAAAAGTTTTGGAGATATTTCTCTTGAAGGTTCTGTGTTTGATCTATACTTATTATAAACTAACAATTATTTAGTCAAACCAGTTCAAATACTCTCTGGACCTTCTTTTTGGTCTTGTCTCGGACTTGTCTTTCTCTGAGGACCCTTTTTGGAGGCTGTAGTTGATCGAGGGTGTGCCCACTGTTGTGTCTGGATCATGGTTTTTCTCTGGTCCTCTCGGTTCCTGGTGCTGTCCCTGGTGCTCATCCTGTCTCTGGTCTCCTGTGCGGCTGTAGGGAAGAAGAAGCTGTACATCGGAGCCCTGTTCCCCATGAGTGGGGGCTGGCCGGGGGGGCAGGCCTGTCTGCCCAGCGCTCAGTACGCCATGGACCTCGTCAATAACCGCACAGACATCCTGCCGGACTACGAACTGGAGCTGATCCACTACAACAGCATGGTGAGGAATGAGGCTGTATACCCAGGACTGAGGCTGTAGACCCAGGACTGAGGCTGTAGACCCAGGACTGAGGCTTAGACCCAGGACTGAGGCTATAGACCCAGGACTGAGGCTGTAGATCCAGGACTGAGGCTGTAGATCCAGGACTGAGGCTGTAGATCCAGGACTGAGGCTGTAGATCCAGGACTGAGGCTGTAGACCCAGGACTGAGGCTGTAGACCCAGGACTGAGGCTGTAGACCCAGGACTGAGGCTGTAGACCCAGGACTGAGGCCGTAGACCCAGGACTGAGGCTGTAGACCAGACTGAGGCTGTAGATGAACAGAGGTTTATGCATCAGTGTTTCTCAACCTGTGGTGCAGACACATGTCTCTGACACTGGTTAAACAAAGCTGTCAATCACACACCATGGCGAGGGCGGCACGGTGGCTGAGTGGATAGCACTCTCGCCTCTCAGCAAGAAGGTCCTGGGTTCAAATCCCGGCCGGACCAGGGCCTTTCTGAGTGGAGTTTGCATGTTCTCCCCGTGTCTGCGTAGGTTTCCTCCGGGTACTCCGGTTTCCCCTACCACTAAAAATATGTTCAATAGTTCTAGCATGTGCCTCCTGTACTGGCCCCGCTCCCATCTCTGTGTGGAGTGAGAGACAAATGCCCAAAATTAACAATTGTAAACCGCTTTGAGACTCAGATCTGCAGTGAAAAGGCGGTATATAAATAAAAACTTACTTACTTACTTACTTACCATCAACTCATGTGAACGAATTAGACACAACCTCCATCTTATTATCTCCCCCCCCCTCTCCCCCTCTCCCCCTCCCCCCCTCAGTGCGACCCTGGAGAGGCCACTAAGCTGCTGTACGACCTGTTGTACACGGAGCCCATAAAGATGGTGCTGATGCCCGGCTGCAGCGGGGTTTCTACCATCGTGGGAGAGGCCGCCAGGATGTGGAACCTCATCGTGGTGAGACACCAGGAGAGACACCAGGGGAGACACCAGGAGAGACACCAGGGGAGACACCAGGGGAGACACCAAGGGAGACACCAGGGGAGCCACCAGGGGAGACACCAAGGGAGACACCAGGGGAGACACCATGGGAGACACCAGGGGAGACACCAGGAGAGA